AGCCGAGTCCTTCAGGACAAAGTTACAGATATTGCTGAAGCTAAACGCTTGCTTTCTGATACGAATACGTATCGTCATTTAGCAAGCAATCCATTAGAGGAATATAGATTACAGCTAAAATACCTTATGGATACAGCCCTAGCAGATAAAATTATCACAAAAATGAATATGCATTTCTCTTTCATGAAATGATGAAGACCCCATATTTTTATCACATACCGAAGGTTCACAAAAACCCACAAAATCCCCCAGGGAGCCCCATAATTGCATCTATAGAGAGCTTAACAAATGGTCTTTGTCAACATATCGATACATTTTTACAAGCATTAGTTCAATCCCTACCTGCCTGTATTAGGGATTCCCTGCATATATTAGACACTTTGAAGCATTACCCTGGGGCAAGGATTCCAATTGGCTATCCTTAGGCGTCAATTAATTATATCCCTCATGATCTAGTATTAAGAGCTCTTGGATATTTACTTACTGCTGATAGTGGAATTCTTCAGATACAAGTTTATTTTGAATACAACCCACTTCTGTATAGAGCACAATTATTTTATTTTCAATGAAGATTTTTACCTTTAAAGTGTTACTAAACCTAGAACCCTACATTCACTATATCTGGCCTCCCAGAGTAAACAGAATGTGGGAATGCAATAATTTTAGTATATATAAACTGATAAATACCTTTTCTCATCAGCAGTAAGAGCAGTCTTGTGACTACTATCAGTATCCAGCAGAGCACATGTTAAAGCTTGTAGGAGGAGTTTTCATTGTGCTCTAGGAGGACGCAGAACCCCTGACCTCTGTCTGGACAGTGCTAATTGGCTCTGTGCTGATCACATGCACTCTCCGTAGAAAAAAAATTCTCTAGCAATACACACAAATCTGAGCATGTGCAGAGTGTCTCCACTTGATATGTCTTATCAGCAGATAAGAGGGGGACACTGGAAGAAGGGGAAGATCAAAGGAGTCAGGATCAAACAGCTTTTTTATACAATGCAGAGGATTACCCCCTTAGGTTTCACAGTGAGTATACCAAGCATGCTCTACGACATATACATATTGATTTTACTGTTGTGGGTTTAGTAACACTTTAAACTTGCACCCAGCTATGGGTGCAAGTTTTTTGCCATGCTAAGCAAATCTTACTATGGGGTTTTGGGAACAATTTCACATTAGGAATAACAACTCGTTTAACCGCCATATAACTTTTTAATGTTTTTTTTGTTGATATTATGATGATCTGACAGGGCCCTCCATCTACAATATTATTTGTGGATTATTGCAATAGTTACCATCCCCCCTAGGTCTGACACTCAGTAATGTACATGGCTAGGGGACATTGGTATTTTTAGATTTGGAGTTAGGCCACACAAATACAACTTTTTCTAAAAATAATTTTTATAATCAAACAAGTCCTACTTGCATGCTGATAGTTGCACCATCTTAACTAGGTGTGCAACATACCCAAGTGTCAGTTCCATAGATTGAGAAAAAACTGCACAAAAGAAGATGATTACATGAGCCAAAGTAAAGTTTTAATTCAGAAGTTCAAAGACAAAGGGCATCAGGAGGAAGACCTTATTAGAGCCCAGCTTGATTGTCTCATGACTTTACTCTCTGATAATAAAAATAGGGAACAAGGTATGATGGAACAAAATACAATAAGATGTATTACACAGTTCCACTGTGAATATCGCAGTATGGAAAGAATCATCCAAAAACATTAGAACATTCTTAAGCAAGATCTCAAACTAGAGGATGTTTTACTGGATAAACCCACATTCATGCATATAAACGCCTCCAGTCTGAGGAATAAAACATCACCTAGCCAAAAAAAAAGGGAAGTGAAAAACAATGTGAAGACAGTGAATGTGAAATACTCTGTGTTCTTTTTTTTGATGTGAAAGGTATGTACCAATGCCAGAAAGAACAGTGTATAACCTGTCTATTTGTAACGCATAAGCAAAAATTATTTTTAGATGACTAGGGGAAAGGTATGAACTTAATTCTTTAGTTGTTCCACAGAATTTGTAATTTATTGTTTACAATGTCCCTGTGACTTATTTTATTTAGGACACACAATCAAGATGATTAGGAAGAGATTTGGGACACATAGGTGACTTATTGAGTCAGGTGACGTAGAACAAGTACACAATACGTATATATATAGGTTGCCACTTTGAAGTGGTTTACCAGGGTTATGGCTGAAGCTATCAATCATAACCCCAGTATTTTTTATTTCTTCAGCCAGTAATTCTCATAAAAGCGATCCGAATGGCTGATTAGCTGCTGGATCACTTTTAGAAGCAGTGGGAGGGGTCGCCCCCTCGCCGATTGCTGGTGTTTCTTGGGCTTACCATTCTTACCGGAAAGCCTGGGTAACGTTCCGATGGTTCATGTGGCTGGCCATCGAGGTGAAGAGAGACCAGATTGTCTCTGATCGCCTCTGTGATCTTGGAGGACAGGTGCAACGTCATGATGTCACTTTTGGTCTACTACGGAAGAACATTTTTTTTTTTGTTCTTAAGCGTAAGATCAAATTTATTTATTTTTTAATCTTTTGCATTTAACACTTTCACTGCCAGGTCTGTAGGCCATATGGACAGCGAGGGGGTTTATACATAATCCAGTGGCTGCAGCCACCGGGATTGTGTATAGAACTGACAGGCAGAAAAAGTCAGGCCACTGATTGCTTCCACAGTCCCTGGTTCTGGCCCAGGGAGAGCCATGGTGGGTGCCGGCAGGTGCAGAGGAGAGAATACAGTGGATGAGCATCCGCTTCCCTCCCCTTCTTTGTGTGACCTGGAAGGCGATGTCCATGACGTCACTTCCGAGTCATGGCTGTCATTTTCCTGCCTAGAATAGCTGGAGAAAGATGTATTGCAATGCGGTCTGCATGTAAAAACATAAAGTTACACCCAAGCACATAACATACCTACAAAAAATTTTGAGCACCCCACATGTTCAAACCTAAATGCACACATCCGGGCGCGCCTTTGTGTGAAAACGTCAATTGCTATACACGTTAAATATCGCCGTGCACGCCAGAGTGAGAGCAATAATTCTAGCACCAGACCTCCTCCGTAATGCTAAACTGATGAGGGGCTTTTGAAGCATGGATTACAGAAAATATAGGGTACTGAAGTTTGATGCAATTTCTTAGCCGCACACAAATGCAAGGTTTGGCATGTTGGGTATCTATTTACTCGGTACAACCTCATCTTTTATATTTTACTAAAAACTTTTTTGTTGCCCCAAAATTCACTTTAGTGTGAATTTTACTGAAATGTTGCATTTCTTAGACCTTTGTGGTAATAAAGTGTGACATAAATAATTGGAACTACCACTATTTTATTCTCTAGGGTATCTGCTTTCAGAAAATATATAATTTGTGTAATCTTCAGGCCTAAAATAATTTTTTAAACATGTGCAAAAATTCCAAAATTGCTCTGGCAACAAAAGAGTAGAGGAGATATTTGGGGTTCTCCAGGTCCACTCTCCATAAAGAGGACCTGTCATCATTTATTTCTACTACAAGGGATGTTTACATTCCTTACTGAATCACTGGCTGTGCTTGACAGTAGAGGGAGCCAATGGCTCCTACTGCTGTCTCTGCCAATGAAGCTGAAGAGACTCCGGAAAGCCACTGCTCATGTCGCTGGATCGAGATGGGGCACAAGTAAATATTAGGGGAGCTGCGCACACAGACGGTTTTTTTTTTACCTTCATGCATAGAATTCATGAAGGTAAAAAAACCTTGAGCCTTTACAACCACTTTAAGTTTATCTTTTATTTTTTACTAAGTGGGAATTATATAATGATTATGATCTCTGTTAGAAACTATTCTATCACTTGAATCTTGCACAGTGCACAATATCCATCCTTTATAAATCCTTCCGTTACCCCTATAGACAGGTTTGAAAAAGAAGGGGCTGTCCTTTGAAACATTTTACCTCCCCCCCTGTACCCCCAGCAAACAGAGGTCACCAAGAGGCAGGAGACAGCAGTGCAGAACGCTGTGTATTGGTGGGTTTCTGATAGCTGTCAGTTCAGGTCTCTGTAATGCTGGCTATGAGATCAGGAGCTCCTGCTTCTGCTTTACAGCTTTGCCACGGATCCCCGCTAATGCCGTCTGCTTCCCATGCTGATCTATAATAGTTTGAACTATAAGTGTGCTATGTATTTTTATTAATATACAAATGTTTTTATTCTAAAGTGGATCCCGCTCTACTGTGTTTGTTTTTTGAGGTCCCACTGGTTTTCACCAATTCTGTGCTTATGGCACTGCTGGACATCTTCTGATGTCAAAGGGAAGTACGTATGATGTGTCTTTCATCTGCTGCACTAAGTTTCTTTGGCTAACCACTGTGTCTATGGTCCTCAGTGTTGCCTCTTTCTTTGTATTTCTTTAGAAGAACTTGAACAGCGCATTTTGAAAGTCAGCTTTTAATCTTTGCCTGGGAGATACATTGCTGATGCAATATAACTACCTTGTGTCTTTTTGCTGTGCTCACTCTTGCCATTGTGTATGACCTCTGACATGAAACCGTCTTCTACAACCTCAGCTTAATAGCATAGTTTGGCAGTTCCTCACCCAGTTTTAAGCCTCCTACACAGCTCTTTCTACTTTAGTTGATGACTGTTTCAACCTAAATATGAAATTCATGATCATTAGCACTTGCTTGGTATAACTGGTTAATCATACACTTGACTCTAATGCAGGCCATAGATGGGTCGAAAATCAGCCGATTTTTCGGCCGAAAATAAAATCGGCCGATTTTCGGATCGTTAGTGGGCTATTTGTTCGGCTGTTTTTCGGTATTTTGTCAGATTTTTTTTTATCGGTAAAGTTGGAAAAAAAAAAAAATGGCCGATTTTGCCGATCGGCCGATTTTCGCGGCAATGATGGGCAAATCGGCCGATTTTTTACCGATAAAAAATCTGCGCATGAGCAGTGACCTGCAAGAGGAAGACAAAAAGAAGAAAAAGAAGAAGAGGAAGAAGAAGAGGATGAAGAAGAAGAAGAAGAGGATGATGAAGAAGAAGAGGATGAGGATGATGAAGAAGAAGAGGATGAGGATGATGAAGAAGAAGAAGAGGATGATGATGAAGATGAAGAAGAAGAAGAAGGATGATGATGAAGAAGTAGAAGAAGGAGAAGAAGAAGAAAAAGAAGAGGATGATGATGAAGAAGAAGAAGAGGATGATGATGATGATGAAGAAGAAGAAAAAGAAGAAGTAGGATGAAAAATAAGAGGAATTCCAGTCCAGCAAAAAGTGTCCCTGCAGAGAGCTCCGCTATTTCTTTGACAGTCCTTTGACAGTTCTTTGACATTTACAGCGGTTGCAACATTGTATCTATTTGTTTCCGAATAAAAACATCTGTATCCTAAATGGAAACAAATAGATACAATGTTGCAACCGCTGTAAATGTCAAGGAACTGTCAAAGAACTGTCAAAGAAATAGCGGAGCTCTCTGCAGGGACACTTTTTGCCGGCTGTAGACGGGATGAAAATCGGGCCAATTTTTTTTTACCATTGATGGTAACGTCGGCCGCTTGAACGACCGATTTTTCGTTTTTTAAAAGAGAAATCGGCCGTTTTTCTCCCCGTCTATGGCCTGCATTACTCTACAAAATCCCTGACTTTTTGCATGCTTGGATAACGGATATGGATTATGGGGAAACCCCCACACCATTTAAAAAAAAATGTTGGTGTGGGGTTCCCCTCAAAATCTATACCAGACCCAAAGGGCTTGTTATGGATGGGGGGGGGGGACCGCACGCGGTTAAAAAAAAAAATGAATTGCCGGTAATTTTTTTTTACATTCAGCTGTCAGTGGGGAAGCCCGCTGACAGACGATACATTACAGAGTGTTTTCACTACTAAAATACAGCATGACTTAATAATATAATTCATGCGGTATTTTAGTAGCTGTGCAGAATATTACCGCATACTCAGATGTGGTAAGAAACCATTTAGTGAATTGTCCCTGTTCGAAGTTTGCAGTCGAACTTTCTTTAGGTTTGAATGTTTGACCGTGAACCAAATGGGGGGGGGGGGTGGTGTTCGGCCCATCACTACTTATAACGATTATACGTTTTACTGTGATTTTGTATGTATAAGCTACATGGCTATATGAGCTTTTTATCTTTGTTATATCTAATAAAATTTGTACAGTTTTTTTTATATATTTCTTGCCAAAGTATCCTCTTCTTATTAGATACCGTATTGTCCTCTATCCCTCCTTTTACTTTGAATTTTGGTAACCCTTGCATCGTAGAGGCAGCCCCATTGCAAGGGAAGAGTTTTCCTTTTCCCAGAGTGCAGACAGTATGTTACTGACAAACAATATTTTCTAATAACACTTGCCTGTATATGTAATTATTCATTCCTCTGAGAAAGTCATTGCTGGCAATGGTGTGACAGGTACATGCACACACACACACACTGATGTTAAGCTACTTACAAACATTAGCTGATGGCCAGCTTGTGAGCAGGAGCAGTGTGCTGCGGTGGCCGAGTCCAGTTGCAATTAACACTTGCAGTGAAGAAATGGCCCAAATGTACAAACAATCCAGCTGGAAGGCCCAAGCTGGGAAACACTCACAGTTCTGTGCAACTTATCATGTGGAGCAGGTTCTGATGCACTGACAGTGGCTGTGTCTGATACATGGAGTGCGGTCTGGCCAGTGTGAGCCCAAAGGGGATGATTTGGATGCAAAGTGGCATGTCCCTACTCATCCAGAACTTTTCCTTATCGTTACTCACTCTCCCTAACAGGCAGGTGCTCTGTCCCTACACTGCCCACTCACAAAAATGATTCTTGGAACAGGCACTTAAAAAGGCTCTGCTGACCCAAGATGGACACCAGGGACATCTATATGCAGTATAGCCAACCAGAATGCTGCTTCAGGGAACCAAGGAAACCATAGAGAGACCAAAGTATCTCTCAACTTCCTCTTCAGCTGCAGTACCACTCCAGCTGAGCACGATCTACCGATCAATTTAGACTTGATTTCAATCAGATTCAATAAAACTTAGTTGATTGGTCAGGGCAGAATTTTATAAAATATTTTGCATCAGCGTACAGCACTGAGCTACTTTGTTCATGAATACAATCGCATTTCAATCAATCAGATTACGAGATTACACGGTGGAACCAGTGATCAATAATTTACAATTGTATCTTAACTTATCAATCAAAATCTACTTCCCCATGTTTGGCATATCAATCTAATGAGTTAACTTTAGATTGATTGCTCCTACTGGGAAAAATCAGTCAGAAAAGAAATTGATCATTTTTTGAAGTGTGTATGCCACAATTAGGACAATCTTTATACAGCCGTGTATTTGTACATATAAAGTTTGTTATGGGTGAATTTATGTGTTTGAGCTTTTAGAGAAGGAATGAGGCATTATGCATGCACCTGCTGTCATAGAGGAAGACATGAAGACTGGATTCACACTGTTGTATTATGTACGCTGGTGCATTGTGGTGGTGTTCACGCTGAGCTGCACCTGCATTCAGTACACTGCAAATCATGGTAAAATAGTTGTTAAAAATGGTGCATGCTCCATTATTTGTACATTAAGCTGGGTACACACTAGAACAAAATCAGGCAAACGATTGTCCGGTTTCACAGCAACTCAAACCCACAGATGGTACTAATTGTATGAAAATTCTTGAACAACAAAAGGTTTTTTTTTTTTTTTTTTTTACGTAGAAATGTTGTAGCGTAGATTATACTTACAGTATGTCACCATATACAGTGTAGAAACAATGGTGGTCGCTGTCCTTGCATTGTAGATTATATTAATGAGAGGGGTGAAGAAACAATTGGCCAGAAACAGGCAAGAAGAGGGTCTTTGTGGAGTTGATTGTCACTACTGGAACCATTCTGCAGGAGAGTGAAATAAGGTGAATTTATTCAGTGTTAGATAATCCTCTTGATAAAATGTATACTATATTTTTGGGGATTTATTAATATGCAAAACTCCCCTGCCTCTTACTAGACCACTCAATACACAGATCTGAGCTCCCCTCCAGCACATTCGCACTTACAGCCTTTTGACAGCCGTGGCCTCCCCTTTGTCTGCAGCCCCAACCTACTGACTAGTCACTATTGCTAAATAGATTTCCAAGGGATGCTGCTCCGGCTATATGGCTACGACCTATTTAAATCTAAGAAATGTTAGTGCTCAGGCATGGGCAGCCTAGCACTAGATTATTACTGGCCATGTTGCAGATATTGAAGGAGGCCACAGCCATCGAAGGAGATAAGTATGGATCTGCTGGAGGGGGGAACCAGGTTTGTGTTTTAAGGGAGGGCTAGGGGGATTTTCTTGAAATGTACACTATATTGCCAAAAGTTTTGGAACACCTGCCTTTACACACACAAACTTTAATGGCATCCCATTCTTAGTCCACAGGGTTCAATGTTGAGTTGGCTCTCCCTTTGCAGCTATAACAGCTTCAACTCTTCTGGGAAGGCTGTCCACAAGGTTTAGGAGTGTGTCTATGGGAATGTTTGACCATTCTTCCAGAAGTGCATTTGTGAGGTCAGGCACTGATTTCGGATGAGAAGGCCTGGCTCACAGCCTCCGCTCCAATTCATCCCAAAGGTGTTCTATCGGGTTGAGGTCAGGACTCTGTGCAGGCCAGTCACGTTCCTCCACCCTAAACTCACTCATCCATGTCTTTATGGACCTTGCTTTGTGCACTGGTGCGCAGTCATGTTGGAACAGGAAGGGGCCACCCTCAAGCTGTTCCCACAAAGTGGGGAGCATGAAATTGTCCAAAATGTCTTGGTATGCTGACGCCTTAAGTGTTCCCTTCACTGGAACTAAGGGGCCAAGCCCAACCCCTGAAAAACAACCCCACACCATAATCGCCCCTCCACCAAACTGTACACTTTGGCACAATGCAGTCAGGTAAGTTCTGTTCTCCTGGAAATCGCCAAACCCAGACACGTCTATTGGACTGCCAGACAGAGAAGCGTGATTTGCCACTCTAGAGAACATGTCTCCACTGCTCTAGAGTCCAGCGGCGGCTTTATTTACACCACTGCATCCGACGCTTTGCATTGCACTTGGTGATATAAGGTTTGGATGCAGCTGCTCAGCCATGGAAACCCATTCCATGAAGCTCTGTACACACTATTGTTGTGGTAATCTGAAGGCCACATGAATTTTGGAGGCCTTTATCTATTGACTCTGCAGACAGTTGGCAACTTCAGCGCACTGTGCGCCTCAGTATGCGCTGACCCAGCTCTGTCATTTTACGTGGCCTACCACTTCGTTGCTGAATTGCTGTTGTTTCTAAATGTTTCTATTTTGTTATAATACCACTAAGAGTTGACCGTGGAATACTTAGTAGCAAAGAAATTTCACGGATGGACTTATTGCACAGATGGTAACCTATAACGGTACCACGCTTGACTTCACTGAGCTCCTGAGAACGACCCATTCTTTCACAAATGTTTGTAGAAGTAGTCTGAATGCCTAGGTGCTTGATTTTATACACCTGTGGCCATAGAGGTGATTGGAACACCTGAATCCAATGATTTGGAGGGGCGTCCCAATACTTTTGGCAATATAGTGTATTTGTACATGTACAACATGTTGCTTTAACACAAAACAAAAAAGTGGAGGAAGTAAAAAGTACTTAAATAATGTAATCTGTGCCTGGGAAGTTGCTATGACAGTTGGGGCACGCCCACATTTTTTCATGAACAATGTGAATTCCATTCATTATTTCTAGATGCTGCAAGCGTCAGCATAACATACTTCTATTCTTAGGTGATCAGATTTGTTGTTGTTCTAATCTATAGTACTTCTATTTGTCAAGATTGCTTCGCTTTCCTCCGCCATTCTGTACATACACTGCTGCCAAATGTAATCTTTTCAGCTTATAAACCACTAACCAAGGCATAAAACTCTGCTCCAGTCTGTCCCTTGAATTGCACGTAAGCTGGGTATACACCGTTTAAAATAATTAACTTAATTTAGCCTTTGGGCTATACAGCGTGGATGGAATTTTCTCCTACTGCGGCTATAGTTTTCTGACAACTACAGCTGGCGCCTGTCAGAATACCAGAACTGTTCGGTTGACAATTTTCTACCTGGCACCGTCGATTTTTCAATCAAAAGATGCTGAGCGAGAGGGTGCCAGCAGTTCCACCCACATAGTGACTTTTGGCTGGTTCCTCAGGCTTTGTTTAGATGGGTGGCAACCCTTTACAGCCCTCTGAAAAATGTTCTGCAGTGGAATGCTTTTCAGAGAGTGGCTGACAGATTTGGCTCTTAATGTTTCCCACAAACTCAAACATTGCATAATTAGTAATACACTTTTATGGCCTGTTCACATAATTTGCGTTGAGATG